AAGCGGCCTCGCTTCTCTCCTCCTCGCTTCGGTTCAGCAGCTTGATGGGAAGAGGCAAGGAGGAGAGGGAATGAGAATCGTGACGTCATATGTCTCGTCGACAGGGCTGTCAACATGGAAAGTCAAAATTTCCCTAGCGAACGCCTGAAATTTCCCTTGCTTGCCCAAAAATTACATAATACTAAATATTCGTGTTTTTTTTGTTTACTTTTGCATCACTTCCGTTTTTACGATGAGAGATATATTATGTAGCCGTTACGGCTCGCGTACGTTTCACAAAGGTATCGGGCCAAAACTTGCGGCCAAAGCAAATCTGGCGAGAGGAAGCGTTACCGCGGGAGATTCGAACTGACGAATGAAACCCTTTCTTCGCCTCAGATGTTATGCACCCCATCAGAACATGGTACTGCTTAATAACTTGAGCAACTTTTTTTTCTATAAACGTCAGTTCAATACAAAAGGTGTAAACAAGCGCGAGTTCTCAAACTCAAGCACACGGAACAGGACACACAGTAACTAACATTTCGTGCTCGGCCCTTCACAAAATGTTATTATAACATTTCGTGAAGTGCCGATGTTCAGACTTACCATGACATATAGTCATGGCAAGCCTGTACCTCCAGACATCGTTGTATTTCTTATTGTACTCAAACCTTCTTTTTCGAAAAGGCGCAGTAGCGCTCTCGGAAGCTTCCACTTGGCTAATATCTTCCTCCATAGTTTTCACGGGGGCGACGAAAACGTATGAAAACTGATTTTGCCTAAAACAAAGTTGTTCGAGTGCTCCTCAGTGTTTCCAGATGGTCGCACAACAAGCCGCCAAACGGCTGGAGGGAATACCCTAAATGTTGACAAAGCCGCTAAAATTCGATGTTATCTCGACATGCAATCATACTTGGCCAATGAAATTCCAGATGTATATGGCGCCCAAAACTTCTTTCAAACTAGCAAGATTTTTCTTATTACCTCAAAGACCTGAAAATCACCTTAACCTGGGAAATTTACCTTGCGTTGGCAGCCCTGCTCGCGTCCTCCCTTTACCACTGTTGATAGATACCCCCGCAACTTACGGGAGACTTGAAAGGGGCACTGAAGTCGATTTTGAGATGGTCCTTTTGTGCTGAAAACTCAATCTAGACGCCATCCCAACAAACCCGAAACCACAAGTTTATTTTCCTCGTTAAAAGCGTGTTCTAAGATCGGGACACGCCCTTTTCGGGAAGGATTTTCTTCCGAGTGAAGTGGTCGACGAAGGGCGCTTGTTGGCGAGTTGCAAGCGATGGCTTCGTCCGCGGTGAAAAAGATGAGTCTTATCCGAATGTGTACCTATCAGACTTTCTTCGGAACAAGTTATAATAAAATCATTCGGAATCTCCGCGCATTGTGGGACGTTCATTGGTTCACACAATGTAGTCTGCGAAAAAAAAGAGTCCACATGTTGTTTTTATTTTAAGTTTTTTTATTGCCTTTAGATGAATAGGCGGTTTTGTAATATAGGACTTGGTACGTTGGGCGCGTTCGTTTTGCCGCTAGGCTTTCTAGTTGTTCGCCTGAGTGTCAAGTTTCGTTATTTTTATACGCAACACACGACGATGCGGCTGTTTTCTATATATAATAATAAAACAAAACAAAAAAAAACATAAAAAACTAGGTGCCGACCTTAGAAGAAATGCTTTGCTGCTTCTTTTGCGTTTCTTCCAGCCTCGCCAGCATTCTGAGGTGACCGGCACCAGCGATGTCTGCCTCATTGTCCCGCAGTCCCCAAGATGGCAGACTGTTCCCTCTAGAGTTCTATATGAGCTCTATGCTTAGTACAAACTGCGAGAACTCCACGGCTCGGCCTAACAAGCTGGGCGACTTCGCCCTCCAGGGTTGCTACACCTTACACACCGCTGCAAGACGGCGTGGCTACCTTTGGAGGAGACCGGCTCGTAGCTGCGAGCACGACGCCCCGACTGGTGCCCCATGCCTGCAGGCAGGTGCAGCGTGCACCAGGGCGTAGCTTTGGCAGGCTTGTCATTGCACGTGCTTGCCCACCCAAGCAGAGCCTTAGCCAACAGTACCCTTGGCGGAATTTTTTTTTTTCTGAGAAAAAAAAAAAAAAAAAAAAAAGGAAAGAAGGGGTGGGGGGGGGGGGGGGGGCGCCATGTTGAATTTTGATGTAATTGCGTTGGGGAAAAATACGAAATCACTTTATTTGCCGGTTGGAATTTGGGTAGAATTCAAGTGGTTTGTGGCACTGGTTCTATTTTGTTCCCGGCTATACTTCTAATGCTTTAGCGTTAGCGCCTCGGTACGTGCGCTGACCTTCGAGTGGTCTGGAGCACACGTATTCAAAGTTCACAACGTTGGGCGCCACAGCGCCCTTTCTGGTTGCGGAAACTGGCTAGGAAACACCTTCTGCATGTGCCGACAGGTAGCGGCGGGGTTCATAATTAGCGTGTGGGTATGTTTATACAGCCTGAGCTTAGCGTGCCTCAACGGGCGATTTGTATTTCAGCTGTAAATGAGAAATTTAGCCAATGCAGCACAACCGCTAGGCTAAGGGGCTCTTTAAAGTGCACCACGAAGTAGTGATACACGACCGCACGCCGGCTCTCAGGGGCGGATATAGAGGGGGGGTCCGGATGTCCTGACCCCCCTCTTGATTTCTGCATGTGTAAAATTTAGGGCGTGAAACGAGGGTGAAAGGGAGGGGTTTCCTGAACATACGGTACGCTGACCAACGCCTGACCCCCCCCCCCCCCCCCCCCTCCCCCCTCAGGAAATTCCTGCATCCGCCCCTGCCGGCACCATGCTCATCTAGATTGAAACGGGTAGGGGGGCATTGAAGCCAGGATTTCTGGGTTCTGCAGCGCGGGCAATCACTCCACGTGTTGTGAGTTGGTGTTCAATAGCCCACTCGGCCACCGATTCCTCCTATATTTGAATACGCTATGTGATAGGATTCATAGCAACGGAGGTTGCACTGGATTTTCTGGTTATAGGGAGCGACGCTGCGACGTAACACCTAGCAACCGAAGATCCTCCGGCGATGACCCCTTCGCCATTTTCGGCGCCGCAGTCTACGGGTGACTTATTAGAAAATATTAACCTACCGTGGGCCAGAGCTCTGCCATGGCCTCGCAGTGCCACGCTGGCGGCCCAAGCATGCCCCAGCTTCGCTGTCCACCGCTGCGCCTCGGCTGCTATAAGGAGTATTCACTGGGCGCAATATTTGTGGGTGCTGTTTAGAGCGCATGCGCAGAATGAGCCCACATTAATAGGCTGCTAAGACCGGCAAAGTAGAGGGTGCGAAATGCACGTTACAAAAGAACTGTGAAAGCTAGCCATCAGCACGCGCTCAGCAGTCGCGCACACAGCTATGGCCGTCAGTGAATACGTCCTATAGGGAGTATTCACTAGACGCCATATTTGTGGGTGCTGTTTAGAGCGCATGCTCATACCGATCTCACATCAATAGGCTGCTAAGACCGGCACTTTTGATGGTGCAGAATGCACGTTGGAAAAAGACTGTGGAAGCTCGCCATCAGCACGCGCTCAGCATTCGCGCACACAGATATGGCCGCCAGTGAATACCCCCTATAGGTGATACATTACGCGGCCGACTTGCGGGTGCGCGCTTTGGACCTAAAACGCTGGATGTACGTACCAGCGCTTTATTTGGACGCCCTCGGAAGCTCCTGCCGGCAGCTTTGGAGACCTGCGGACGCACACAAACTGCGGTTCCGTTCTTTAGCCTGCCACGCAGTTCTTGAAGCGCAGTCGTTCTTGCTATGTCACCGGGGCCCTACGGGCGCGGAGTATGCACAACGTGTATGCACAACAACGAAATGGCTCTGTCGTTTTTCGCGCATCGCGCGCAGGTCTTTTTGTACACACGCTAATGCCCGAGTCACACTAGAGCGACAATCAGAAACAAATGACAGCGACAGGCCTCCAACACACGCAGAATGCTGGCGATGGTACCTTTGGCAGGCGTCTTGTCGTTCGGTGCTCGTGAAGTAAGCACGAGTGATTGAAAGCTTGCCAATGTTACCCTCGCGTGCATGATGCTCGTGTTTGAGCATAGCCGCCTTTATTTTACGGAGCCTGTCGAATTGGAAAAAATTCTTTCTGGTTTGAGGCTTGTGGCTGTCGTTTGTTTCTGTTTGTCGCACTAGTGGCACTCGGGCATAAGTGACCTGATGTGCTTGCACGAGGTACAGGGGGTTTCGGGAATGTTCACCTCGCGGAAAGGGGCTGAGAGGCTGCATTTACCGTGCTTTATTGTATATAACAGGTGCGTGATATGCTAACGCATTTCTTCAGGAATCAGCATAGCGACAGCGGCGATTTTTAAAGCTTTATGGGCGACACTTTGCAGAGATTTCGAGCTTGTGGGCTATCGCCGCGGCTATATAAAAAAAAAAAAAAAGAAACACGCACAGACAAAAAACCTTTTTCTATCTTCTCTTAGCGCGAGAAGAGGGAAGTTGGAACTTCCCTTTTGCCGTGGCGCGCAAAGAGAGCGATGGGACAGCGTCCCGGCCAAGAATGGCGAGACGAAGCGAGAATCTTCGTGTCGTCTGCTTCACACACTTGTTTCCAAACATTCCTCGCGTTATGCGAAATGCCTCTTTGACAGCGTCCAGTTGCTACGCGTAATGCTGAATGGTTTTAGAGACTTCTATCGCGCTTTGTTACTTCAGGGATTACTGGTGGAAGTCGTGAGTGGCATCCACGACGCCACCACGACGGCTATCAGAATTAACTCCCCTCCGTCCTCGACGTGACGGCACTCGTGACGGCACCACAGCTGTCGCTTTCGTTCCTTTGCACATTGTGGGCGATAAGTACGACTTATTATGGTAGTTATGCTTATACAATTTATTTTTTGTCGCCCAACCGAGCTCTGCATGAAAACCGTCACACGATAACGGTCTACTATATTCCACGTATTGAAAGGAACGTGATGGTACAATCGTGACCTGCTGAGAGAAAATATCTACCCCAGGAAGGCCATCTTTTGATTCAGCTTTTATTGGCATTAACTTAACAGGCATGTACATCAATAAATTACTCTCGTAAGCGGCTCTTTAGCAAAATCTCGAAACGCGTGCTGGAAGGAAGGGTTCCCGGCGGGGTTGCTTCGGTCGTCGGACTAGTGTTTCCGCGATTGCCGCAGCCCACCAGCGCAACGGGTGGTCGGTGTCGGCGCGAGGTGGTGGCGCTGCGGTCAGTCGATGATCTCCTCGGCCATGTTCATCGGCTGTACAGGTAGTCCACTTTGCCCTTCAGACTTTCCATCTCGTCGTGCAGCAACAACGCCTCGGCGCACTTTAAGAAGTTCTCGTTCTTGAAGCAGTTTTCCCTGCGCACAGAAGAAAAAGAGATACACACAGCCGATTAGTCCGAAATTCTCGCGTAAATTACGCGGGTAGCGGCGGAAGTCCCGCCGAAACGACGAGGGAAGCCGCGAAAACCCGTAATTATTTTCCGTTTCGTTCTTTTTTCAGGCCCATCCTCTTTTTGTGTCCCGCGGACGGCCTCCTGTCGTCGGCTAATTGAGTCGTATTTGCCGTTGACCTCTGCGTAATTGAGCTTTAGGCAGCGCGCGAGTTTTGTCTGTATAATTTGCGCGTGCTCTCGCGTTGTTAGTGCCCTTCCCGCCCGCGCGGAGCGCGTTCGTCGGCAGTCCGTTCTCGCGCCGGTTGTTGCTCCTGTGTCGCTCGCCACCGCAATAATTTCATGCGCTAATTTGGCCGTCTGTTTTCCTTAGCGGGGCGGCGGAGGTCCCAAAGGATTGCGCTAACCTACTGCTGCGCGGTCGCTTCTTTCCTTCGTGCAGTTCTCGTGTGGCGAGAGGGCTTAGTGTCGCTGAATTGCGGTCTTTAGATACTCGCTTTTTCTTCTATTTTGTTTGTGTGTTACAAACGATGGTTCGTGGTGATGGTGTCGCCGGTATTTTTTAACCACAGGCTTTATAGAATGCACTTCCATCCCTGTTGGTCGTTCGATAGAAATGCAGTGGTAGGACATCGTCTTTTGAACCGAATTAATTACGCCGAAGTAGCGACGCCGGCTCTGACGCAGCACGCTAAGCAGTCGGATCGCTCAAGCTGAATGAACTGAAATGATGGCTACGATTTGGTGCTTAGATTGGCGCCCCTCTCTCTTTTTTTTACTCCGCCTACCAAAATCGAAGTACATTCGTACGCCGTACTTTGTGCTCCTACACAAAAAAAAAAGAAACACTTTTATACATTTTTTGTTTTACCATTTAGTTATAATAGGTTAACCCGGATGGAGATACAACCATAAACGTAAGTTTAAAACGTTAAAAGCGCGAGCTGAAGCACAAAGAAAATCAAAGACACATAAAAACAGGCGCTATTTACAATTGATTTTATTGAAGAAACATTCACTCAGCGAGTCTGTCGTTCACCATACCGATAAGCAAACCACAAACCGAGAACACATCGACGGTCTTATATGAAGCCATGTATTTTCCCTTCTTTTTTTTTTTCCACACTTCGTCGAATCTTAGAGCAGTTCGCAACCGCTTTTAGGTTGCGAGCAGCTGATTGATTGCAAATGTCACAAATGAAGGTGACGAGAGGATGATCCGTGAACTGAAAATAAAGGTTGAATCGGCGAACTTGTGCCAAACAAAAATAAGGAACGAGCGTCGACGCAGCAGAAAAGCGGGCGGCGATTTGGCGGCGTAACAGCAAGCGAGAGCGTGACTGACCGGGGGGGGGGGGGGGGTGGCGGCATCTCGCGGAGCATTTTAAGAGTTGCGGTTGCGAACCTATTTTAGATTCGAGGAAGTTTCTAAAACGAGCGAATAAAAAGACGACTCGAAAAACACGAAAGAATAAAACATGGGGACGAAGACAAACAATACAGTTCTTTCAAGTAGCACCGGACATATAATGATGCCACCCTCAACGTGTTAACCCTTCCCTTCCCTGCCCCCCAAAATCTCTCGGAAAATGAATTTTGCATTGAGGGTGGCATCATAAATGTCGGTTGCTAGTAAAACAAGTTGTCTTCGCATCAACATGTCATTCTTGTTTTTGAAATCATCTTTGGCAACCCGCTCTAAGTTCATTTTCGCGAAAAGACGGAGGCAGAAATCGTTTAGGCTTTTTTTCTCAAGAACGCGCGAGAAAAGTGTATGAGCATGCTATCTATTTTTCCGATAGTGAACGAAATATATTCTTAAATGGCTTCATATAAGACTTCCGATATGTTATCGGTCAATGGCTTGTTTTTCGGTATGGTGAACTACAGACTGACTCAATTAATGTTTCGTCCATAAAATCACTTGTAAGTAGCGCCTGTCCCTGTCGTTCGTGCTCCTTATTTCGTCCGTGTTTCGGTTCGTGCTTTTAACCTTTCAAATGATATGAACCACCCAAGCACACCCAAAGTTTTATTGCACAAAAATAAACTCTTCACCGCGCCTAAAAAAAAAAAAAAAGTTTGCGTTGTAAAAAAGACAGGCCAACAAGTATACTCAAATCTGTACAAAGAAACAGCGCAGAGTCGCTACCACCATCCCTTTGTGCGTCCAGGCAATATCGAGCGAGAGACTTTCACGGCGCCATTATTGAGGGACACCAATACGGCATGATACGCTGCAAGAAAGGAGAATGACTTCAGTGGTTTCGAAGCAGACGACAGGAAATGGACGACCCATCATTGTCTGAAGAGAGAAGAAGAAAGGCGCGACCACTCGCTGCTCGTTTTGATGCTCCAATTCAATTCAAATTCTTTCTCCGTTTAAAAAGGGAAGGCAGAAAAGAAATAGAAACTCTGTCGTTCCTTGACAGGGCGCTGCTCTGTCCCCTCCAACCGCAACAGAGAAAACTACCCGGTGTTTGGCAGAAAAAAAAAAAAAAAAACCCTGTTTTTTTTTTTTTTTTCGCCGCAAAAATGAACTGAACTTCGCAGAACGCTCAGTCTCCGTCCAAATGTAGTCCACAGGATGCCAAAGTTTCAGGACTTAGCGCTATCTGATTCAAAATTTATAAGCGATTTTCAAAACTTTTCACTGACAAAATAGAACCCTTTATCGGCAGCAGAAGCCATTAATCTCGCATCTATTCGCGGGGTTTGTTGACCGCCATTTTGCCAAAAAAGTTTGCGAACATCGCTTTTAACATTTGAGTCAGAGGACGGTAGGTTTTGAAATTTTGAAATTTAGATTCCAACCGCTGGCGCTACATTTGAGAGGAGACGACGCGGTCCCGCGGCGCGTTGTCTATTTTTGTGGAGAGAAAAGCATTCGTTTTTCCCAAACATGTGGTACATGAGCAAGCACGATGTTTCTTACGCTGACACACCGAAGTAGGATGCTTTGCGGCAGCTGTGCATTGGCGTAGCCATAACTGACCTGGTAATTTTGTTTCCTCTTATTCTTTTACTGCAACCGTAGCCTCCTATTTACTGGCAAAGCCTTGTAGATCGCCACGAGAAGCGGCCGCCGAAATGGAAAAGGTAGAGCGGCAGGCAACGGATGAGAAAAGAGTCACGTGACTGGCGCCCCACTGCGGCGAGACGCCGAAACACATTTGTCCCGAGCGAGCAAGTGTGTTTCGGGTCCTGGCCGCTGCAAAACCTGCGCGCTGACGTCCAGGTTTCCCGAGAAATGGCTCTTTGATGCTCTGTGCTACCAGATCTTCGCGCTCCAAATCTGCGACCGGGCCTCTTTGACTCCGCTGTCGAGCTACCGGGCTTTGTAAGTATAGAGGAGGCTAGGCTTCAACCAACGTTACTAAACCACTCAGTTCGAAAACTGCTACAGAAACTGCTCTGAAAAAGTGTCCCCGATCTGTCCTCGAGCACCGAGCTAATGGCGAACACAACGCCGCCACTTCTCCCGCAGCGGCCAATCGAGGAACTGTACGTGACGTCTCTTTTGGCTTTAATCGGCCATCTTGGAGCCGAGACAGATACAGCGGAAGAGGTTACAGGGGCGCCACCCCCATCTCCCCGGCGGACGCGCCGCGTCTTACTACCGAAGTTAAAATGCACCTAGGTCGGGACGCGCTACCTGAAAGCACCGCTGAGGCATGCCTGTATAAAAAACAATGTTAATTGTGCCGCAAAACCTTGCAAACTAAAAATGTTAGAAAACATCACGTGCCCCTCATTTTGTACTAAAGTCCACTAAAAGTTACGACAAAAAGGTTTTTTTTTTCGTTGGTTTTTACGTTTCTAGTAACGTTGAAACGTACGTTTCAACGTTACTAATAAATGAAACAGTCAATATTTCTTCATTCAAGCTTATTTGATGGGATGCGGAACTTGATCTCAAATATATAGAGAACGGGCATTTCGAAACATTTGTGGAGTGAAGGATGGCATTTTCGAGGCAAGGCATAACAAACTCTCCTAAATTAAATACATAGTTAAATCAAACTAAAGTGGCCATAATAAAACGCACACATGGTGATAATATAAAAACAATGTCAATGATGTAAGGAATATTAAAGGAATTGCAAAAACAATTGGGGCAGTGTAAGCAACGGGTAGCGATGCGCTCACGCAGACATTGTGCACTGATCAGAATTACGTGCTTTCAACTAGAAATTAAAGCGAATAAAAAAGTAACAGTGACTAGTTATTTCAGAAAGCAATTTACGGGCCCTCTTGATCATATCATTTATACCAAGCGCCTACACATAAGGATGCAGCAGCCGCCTGCGTTCACGGCGAAGAATATCCAGGACGTCCTCTGATTGAACTTCAATGTCGCTGTGAACATTGAAAAGCGCTAGACCGAGCAGTCGCTCATTCGAAGTGGACGCTCTCAGGTATGTTTTCAGCCGTCGTAGTGAAGAGAACAAGCGGTCAGCTTCCGCCGTTGTTACGTGTAGAGTCGCTAGGATCTTGAGACGTTTGGGAATAGGGCCTCGCGGACAGAAGGCGACCGCCAGTAGCACATATTCGGGCGTTTCACATTTCTCCCTCTTTCATTGGACGCCTAAAATTTCTTTTTTTTTTTTGGCGAAGTTTACGAAATTTCCCTCCATCGAGACGCCCGTCTCGAGGGTCGCTTACAGATGCGATGAAGTCCGCCTCGCTTTCTGCTTTGCAGGCCGAGGTAGCATCCGATGCAATTCATTATTAGATTAATCTTCTCGTTGCACCGAACATCAGAAACTCCGAAGAGCCTTCATATTTTCACTACGCAAAGGTGCAAGGGTGTTCAAGTTTGTTTCCACGTTTGGAGTGTGGTTTGCCTGTTTGTGTGTGGTGTGTCATGTCATTTCTCCGAATGACGGAACGACGAGTTCGGACTGACGACTTCTCATAGCCCCGAGGGTATGCCGCTGCTGCCTTTGGACCACGCTGCAAGAT